CATGCGCTGAACGAGCAAACGCTCCGCGTGCAATTTGATGGCCACAAGAACAGTCTCCTCCACCAAGGCTTTTGTCATCTCCGCGGTCAAAACATCCTCCTTCCAGCACTCTGAATCCTGTCCCCTGAAGTCTGGTTTCATTTCCCCTTCTTCCATGCAGTGCTTACTGGGGTCCGTCAAATCCTCCGTGGACACCGCGATGCGGATGGGCGCCCAGCCACTGTTTTCCTCCCCTGCTGTGGCGACGGTGTACGCCTGCGTCGCGCCCTGCCCCTTGCGCGGCAGCTCACGCACCATCGCGGTCGGTGGCCGGCCGTTCCCCCACAACACCTCGTCGAAGGCACGGCGGTGCGCGGCGGCGAGGCACCCACCGGCGCCGTACATTAACAGCAGTAGGAACACCGCCAGTGAAAGAAACTGCGTGGCGTGAACTCGACGGCGCATGGCGTGAGGTGAGTGTGTGTGTGCGAGTGTTGGATTGTTGCAAATAACTGTATTAGTAGCACAGAGCTTGTCCGCAGCAGAAGAAGGAAAAGGGAAGGGTGGGTGCAGTTGCAAAAATGAAAATTTCAGAAGGGGAACTATAAAAAAGAGACCGCGAGCCAAAACGACGACGGCCCTCGCATCTCCATTTCCGCGCAGTCGTCCCGTCCTCCACACACACACACACACACACATGCAAAGGTATATTTCTCTTTTTTAATGGGTGCGGGGCCGCGGCGGACACGCACAGGAAACGCATCCCCTCGTCATACGCCCACGCCCCCCAAAGCAAAGCATACAAAAAAAGCAAAGAGATGGATCCAACTGAGGCGCGTCCCCCATTCACGTTTCCCTCCGCAGAGGAACCCCTTCTGCCGCGCCGCCGCCAATACTCCCCGAGCAACAAACAAAAAGAGAGCCCCCCCAAATAAACATTAAAAACATATTAAAACAACAACACGGTTCATCCACAAGGTATTAATTGCGGCTGCAAACAGCGGTGTGCGAGCGGGGAATGGGGCGACGTCCGTACAATGGGGTCATCATCTGAGGAAAAAACGGTGCACGTCCTCCTCCCACCCTCAAAGTGCATGCTGCACAAAGCAAAGGTTTCAAGTTCTGTAACGCATGAGGCACGTCGAAGCCCTTGTGCACGCCGTGCTCGTGGCAGCTTCCTAGCGAGACATCAGGGCCGCAATGCCCGTAGCCACCGCAAGTAACAACACTGCACAGGAGCGAAGGTCAGTGGCGGCAGTACCATCCGTGTGCTCCCCAGGCGATGGCACGTTAGCGCTCACTTTTTTCTCTCCACCCCCGTTGGTCCTTTTCTTTCTCACTTCGTCTTCGGCTCAGTTCCTTCGGGGCGGAGCAGCTCGGGGCGCCTGCGTTCACGAAGTCCTTGCCGACGTCGGGACTCACGGTGCAGTGCATGTGAGGGGTAATCGTCCCCAGTGCCCACAACTCGTCATCGTCGCTCGGGTGGCGCGTGACACCACTCCTGCCGGCGGGAGTGATGGTGCACACCTCGTCGTACTTGGGGCACCTGATCTTGCTGCTCGCAAAGTTAACGGAAGTGCCCACACCTGAGAGAAAGCTGCCCTCAGGGCAGTCGTACCAGTCACTGTCGCCGATGTAACGGACCCTGAACGAACCCCTGGCACACGCCACCTCCGCGCAGACGGCGGCCACAGCACAACCGCCCTGGGCTCCGGGTCATACGTCTCCACGTTCACCTTGAGCGACTCCAGTCGAGACACCATGAGCCTGCACCCAGGCGGCCCCCGTGCAGGGCTGTGTTTTCCTCATTGCGGCATGAACCAAAAGGTGACGAGCGGATGAAAAGGCACTTGTCGTTCACGAAAAACTGCATTGGCCCAAGCCAACGTGGTCGCCTGTGCAGTACGACATGGTGTCACTGTAGTTATTCTAAAAGAACATTGCGGGAAACTTGGTGTGGTCGTCCGGCCCGCACTGCTTTTCATTGACAAACTCGCATCCGACGTTTTTGCTCCAGCGCATCGTCTCCGCCGTGCTGAAGTTCGCCTTGTAAAAGCCCATATCCTCAAACGCGGCCATCGTCAGCGCGGTGTAGAAGCCAGCACCAGTGGCAACCGTGGGGCCAATCAGTTCGTCCTTCGCGTTCCACCGAACCCAGTATGAGTACAGCCGTGATGCATCGTCGTATTCGTCCCTCAGGGGCATGCCCTCAAGGCTGCTGCAGTTGAAGTGCTCCTGCGACTTCTCCTTTGTAAGCGTGGAGAGCACCGTCCCCAACTTTGCCGCATAGCCCCCCAGTGGTGAGAGTGCGCACCACACTCTTGGCCTCCATCTGTTGGTAGCCGAACCCAAGCACATGCGCGAGTTCGTGTGCAGCGACGCGGACAGCGAACCACAGGTGGAAACCGCCAGAAAGATAAAAATTCATGGCGCCGACGGTCGTTCTTATTGACCGTGACGTATGGAACGGCGAAGATTGCAGACGTCCCAGCAGCCAAATAGAGCAATGTGTCTGCGCCCTGAACCTCTTCTGTGTGGTGTTCCGCAGGCACGGTGAAATGTCTGCACTGCGTTTGACGGATGGATTCGAGCACAACCAACGGAGTCTTCACGCGCTGCACGAGGAGGCACTCCGAGTGCAACTTGATGGCGGATGAGAGGATAGTTTGGAGCAGCTCAGCCTTTTTCTGACTGGCGAGGACGCCGTCCTCCAGGCACTCGCCAGCGTAGCCCAGAAACGTTGGACGCTGCTCTCCTTCTTGAGTGCAGTACTTGTCTGGGTCGTCCAGGTCCAGCTTGGACACCACGATGCGGACAGGCTCCTACTCCCCCGTCCCCTCCGCTCCTGTAGAGGCGGTGTACGCTCGCCAGGCACTCTGGCCCTTTCGGGGGTAACTCCTGCACCATCTTGACTGGGCGTGAGTCGCTCCTCGCCATTATCTCGTTGAACATGCATCAGTGCCTGGCAGCGGTGAGGCGGCCCGTGGCGCAGCACATCAGCAGCAACAACAACAAGGGCACCGTAGCAAGTAGGGACGGGCGCATTGCTGTCACTCTTGTCTGCCGGGCCTTCCGAACAACAAATTAAATAAATAATAGCTGTGTGTAAGCTCCAGCAAGAGGTCGAAGACTCTGTGTGGTGGAACGCGTCCCTNACAAGACGCGGCA